ACTAAAAGGCGTTGCTGCAATTACTGTCACTAAACTTATATCAAAGCTAAACATATAGAATTGTTTTTATTCGATAATCAGGTAAACGAGCAGACGGATCACCTGATGGTAATCACTCGGTATCGCACATGAACACCTGAAACACCAGAGGCGTTGCAACTGCGTTTTAAGTCCTTTTAGGGATTAGGAGTTTAAGGATTTGGGGATTCAGGAAATGGGGAGATTGGGGAAAGGGAGGGTAATTGGCCATCCGGTAACCTCACTCACACGACGAAACACAACGCAAGCGTTGCTTCACGTCGATTTTCTGTGAGGCCGTAGTATCACTCCGGTCGATTATTATTTATTGCACTTCCACGCAACAAAATCATAATAGAACAATGCTAAGAATAGTCATGTATAGGTACCAAATAAGTACCTCCCAGCAGGCAACAAGACAACTAATTAAACCCTAGTGATTTACTCACGTAAGTAACGAGATGCTTAGAGTTATTTATAGGAGCCGGTCGTTAGGGGAGCCCCTAATGACCATCTGGAATCAATATATTGCACGCTGGAATGGACTTGGTTTTATTGTAAGGTCATAAAAGACTGGAAGGTGTATTGAACTGAGGTTGTCTGCTATCTGCTATAAATATAAATTAGCGATGTTATGTGACCTTGATATATCGGAAATACGGCTATGAAAGATTTACTTACTAGTTTTGAGTATAATGAGATGACATGAGAGTTTTGATTAATTAAGTAAAATTAAATTTAAGAGATGATAAAAAGCAAAGCCTACGCTTCCTACGAAATCAAGATCCTTAATTCCATTACCGAGTTTCGTCATTTCAATATTATCGATTAATTCCGACTTCCGATTATCAAACTCCATAACATCCTTAGTTAGTTGGTTAGGGTTTAATGACCTTATCAAAAAATATCTCTGTAATTGCAAAAATCTCACTAACCAGTTGCACGAAATAATGTATTAAAAACGCATTAGGCGTGTGATAGGCCCTTATACATAAGCTGGTAATTAGGCCTCCGTTAACCTCACTCACACGACGAAACACAACGCAAGCGTTGTTTCACGTCGGTTTTCATCATTCGTGCTGAAGTTTTGCTCTCCCACGCTTAAATGTGTTTTAAGCTTCTCTAATACTCTATGTACTTATAGAGGTATCTGTTAAATCACTCACTATGTATAAATAGATAATGATATTTCTACTATTCATTCAAAAAGCTGCTAACGTCTAACACCCTGTACCTTTCACCCTTCGCTTACAAATAAATTTGAAACATATTCCATCAACATTAAAGTTGATTATTGCGTAACCGTTTTTTAAAATATATATGAAATATGACTGGGATAAAACCACTATGTGTCAGGATTCCAACGTAAAGTCTACCCACGAAATATTGGATGAAAAATGTTGTTGTATTTTTGTGGCTACGTGATTTTGGTCCCAAACGTAAAAACGCGTGACGCACAACCCTACACGCCTCTGATAGGTGCATGGTAACCTAATTTCACCTCTATTTTCATAGCGTCAAGGAACTTTTTGCTCTACAGCAATATTCGTATGAAAGGATATATGAACGGAAATTGAAATTAATGTAATATTGTTCAAAAATTGGATTAAAACAATCTTTGCGAGAATATGTTCAGGATTAATTTAAATAATTCACAAAAAAGCCACGCTCTACTCTTCGATAGTTGACTCAAATGCAGTTAAGTAGACCTAAACTAACAGTATTTGAGTGACGTTTAACTGTTCGGAAAGTGTCGTAATTACTATTATTATAACAATTAATCTCTTGATATGTGATTAGACAGAATAGAAGAAACGCGACTGGGCGAATGAGAGGAAGAAGAAATATAGGAGGAGAAAGGGTAAAGTAAAAGGTAAAATTAAAAATCTAATTAGTCCGTAAGTTAGGTAATGAAAAAATATTAGAGACGTATTTCTTTATTTAATCGTATAATAAAACAATACTTAGATAAAACGAATCAAAGTTTAGGAGTGGGGGCTAAAACGTCATTTCTACGTACCTATGCAATGTACGTAGAAGTGACGTCACGCGACATTTCAAATCAATATATCGTCGAAAGTATTCGTTTCTGTAAGAAAATAAAAAGTGTCTAATGATTTAAAATAATCTTCCAGACGGACATTGAAATAAAAATTAGGCATCTACCATATTCTAAGAATAGATTGTGTGAAGAATAATAAGCAAGATAAAAGAGTTTATGGTTATTAATGTCTGTTAAAAATCAAAAACATTATTATTTTCCACCAAATTCGACAGTAGTTGTAACAAATACTTGCGTAACAAAGCTTTCGAAACTAAACAATAAAATTCAATGAGAAATTGTTACAAGCATTGTTATTAAACTCCATTAACTCGTCGAGTACCGGTTTTATAGACACAATTAAAGAATAATAGGTCGCGGTCACCGGTGACCGCTTGGTGTTTGACAGTTTAATAAAGTGAAATATTTGATAAATATTCAGACACTAGGAAATAACAATAAAGTTTCATGAAAACGATCTTATCCTCTTATTTGTAAGTCTGGGACCCCTTGCGTAACGCTCTTGGTACAGCAAGTAAGTCCTTATTCCTTATGAAATGATTTTATTGACATTATTACCTACCAGCTGTTACCAGCGACTTCGTCCTCGTAGAAAATGATTCCTGTTTTATTCCATTGGAGCATTTAATCGATATAAAACCATATTCTGCCTGGATACCAAATTTCATCAAAATTCGTTCAGTAGTTTCAACGTAATTGACGGACAAACATTGAAACACGGAAACAAAGAAACTTTCACGTTTATAATTTTAGTGTGACGTGAAATTGTGAAATGAAGTTTTAGACCCCTCGTCCACAGGCGACTTTTTATAGCAATGTAGTCGCACGTTTAGCAAACGCGACAGCATCGCTTCTAAGGCGTGCCAGTCGCATTTGCAACGCGCTGCAATAGTGATGCAAACGCGCTATTGCATCACTATTGTATCGATTCAAACGCTTGGAGTCGCGGAGAACCTAATGGGTAACCGGGGCTCCGGCTCGACGTGCAGGAGAAGGAACGGGGTGGTTTTTAGTCAGTAAGAGTCTGACACTCCCTCCCGCCTCACCCAGGCGGGAGCAGTGATTCGATGATTTTCCACCCTTAAAAAAAAAATCGATTCAAAGGCGCGACCGCGTCGGGCGACATTCAATTTTGTCGCTGCTTCTGTTGCCTACGCTTCAGCTGCTTACGTAAAAGCAGCACCAAAGACAGCGTGAGTAATGTTGCCTCAATAGAGTCCATCTTGCAACTATACTAATCCAAGGTATTTTTGTATCGTAACTGCATCGCGACCGAATGTGCGGAGTCTGAATTTGTGTCTGATTTTGGACCACCTTTGGACAATAGGTTGACCCCCTTTTACATGAGACTAAGAATAATTGATGGACATTATACATCCACCTCTGCCCTATCCTTCGGGGTTTAAAAATGTGAATTAATATAATGTAGTATCTTTTTCATTTTTCAAAAGTATACACAAAGGCACACATAAAACCAACCACTTTTTGCCAGTCAGGATGAGTCTTGTGTAAAAAGAGGTTTGTTTTACCGCAAATTAGACATGTTAAGCAAATTAGTAATTATAGAGAAAGAAAATAGGTTAGGATGTCTATCCTGTGTCTACCTAACAAACCTACCTCAATTAACCTACCTAAATTAACGTACTTTTTAAGTGTTACATGTGTTCTACACTAGTGTGCGTAAAAGGTGTTATATTGAGCATGCTCAATAGCTCAAAAGTCGAACGCCTGTCGATTCGAAAACATGCCTGAAATGAACATGCTAATTTTGAGTCCATGGGCGGCGCGGCGGCGCAGATCGCTTACCATCAGATGATCCGTCTGCTCGGTTGCCTCATATTCCATAAAAAAAGAAACATTCTTTTTTGTTTTTTTTTTAAAAACGTTGCCCCGCTCTAGAATTGTCTCCTGTGTCGAGGATGCATGAACAAACCTACTAGTTCACATACACATGACACCCAGACCCGAAACAACAATTTGTGGATCACACAAAGAATAGAGTAGTTTCCAGGGTAAGAAAATTAAAAATCTAATTAGTCCGTCAGTTAGATAATGAAAAAATATTAGACACATATTTTTTATTTTCTCGTATAAAGTTACAATACTTAAATAAAACGGCGCTAAGTTTAGGAGTGGGAGGTAATGAGGTAGTGTAGCACGTTGTGACGTCACACGACATGTCAGATCAATATATCTTCGAAGGCATTCAATTTTGTGAGAAAAGAAAAACGTATAGAAGATGTATAGAAGATTGTGATGGCCCACAGGTTTAAGACGCCGCCCGCTTCTCATCCATGATGGTATGGGCTCGAAACCTACCAACGGCAAGTACTGATGTGACTTTTTCCGAGTTATATGTACTTTCTAAGATTATTTAGACACCACTGACAAACGGTGAAGGAAAAACATCGTGAGAAAACCTGGGCTTATAATTTCTAATGATAAGTTTGATATCGACAACCCGCATTGAGGAAGCTTGGTGGTTAATGCTCAAACCTTCTTCGTGTGAAAGAGGCCTTTGGTCAGTGGTGGCTACTTATAGGCTGTTGATGTGTAATATGGATAGAAGAATTCGTACTAAGGTTACGAATATTATAAAACAATAACTGAAAAGGAAAGTTTTTAAATAAATTATCTTAACGAGATATTAAGAAGACACTAGAGCCTTATTAATTTTATCGTAAATGATTGTAATGTAACCTTTACAAAATAATTTTGGCCGGCAAACAACCATTTTGAAAATATCTCAAGCGTTGAAAAACAACGCTCAACGTTCCCGGAAATATTATTAGATATTTTGATTAAGATTTTTTTAAATTAATTAATTAATTTAATGATCGTTAGGAAACAGTGTTGTAAGATCCTCCTCATGAATTCATGGACAGATCAAGTAAAGAAGAATGCTCTTTTTTAAAAAGTTTGCGTGATCAGTGTTTATTTTTTTATGGCATAAGCCGTTAAACGAGCAGACGGTGATCAGGTGATCCTGATGGTAAGCAATCGGCGTCGCCCATGGACACCTAGAACACTAGAGGCGTTAAAAGTTGCGTTGCCGGCCTTTTGGGGAATAGGAGTTTAAGGATCGTGGGATTCAGGGATTGAAAAGATTTGGGAATCGAAGGGGGTAATTGAGTCTCCGGTAACCTCACTTATACGACAAAACACAACGCAACGTTGTTTCACGTCGGTTTTCTGTGAGGCCGTGGTAACACTCCGGTCGAGCCGGCCCATTCGCGCCGAAGCATGGCTCTCCCACACTTATACTATTAACAATATGTTTACGTATATGAACAAGTAACTAATATATAAAAAGTATTTTGTCTGTCAAACAGTTTTAATAAGCTCCAGTCTACCAATCAAACCCTTTCGTTTGATGTCCATAATGGAGATATTTTTTTAGATTAAAATATTGTATGGTCATCGAGATTAAGCGTGTGTACCACATGTCAGATCGATCTGTCGTCGAGAAGGGGCTAAAATTTCAATAACCAAATTTAACCCTAACAAAAAAAACGAAGCAAGGTAAATAAAACCGTTTAATAATAATAATCAAACTGTATTACTTTATAAACTGCCAACGATGCACTTATAAATCTGCAGATGTTGCGGAAATCATGAACACATCAAATCGCTGGTAGTATAAATACTGTAGAGAACACAAATAAGTATCTACTAGGCTACTACAGCTTTCTCTATCAGCAACATTTGTACAATCAATTGATATTATTAACACCAACAATGACCCATTCACTATTTTTCCCAATAAGAGTAGGTACATTGACCTATAACCAAAAAACAAAACAAACAGTATTCCCAACACACTTGTTTGAATTTCACCAATCTATAGCTTTATACACGAAACATCGTAACTCCATCCAAGTTTGAGACATAAGTCATTTGGTTAAAGTCCAAACTTGGGAAATACATGTAAACATTACTCACAAGTTGGTCCAAGAAACTAAGTTCAACAAACGAGTGGCCAAACTATAACTGAAGCTACTAACTTAGTTACGGAAGTCACAGCGAAAATGATTTATTACGACTTGTAATAGAAATCAAAAATAGTTATCGTAATGATGTACTCATAGGTTTAGGTCAGGTCAGTAGCAGGTTATCAGGGCTCCGGCTCAATGGAAAATAATAATGGTTCCGAAAAACAAATTAATCTTCAGCGATCTGTGGCCGACTATAAAAATTGATCTTCGAATATCAAAACTAACCGACAAAATTACTAAGTTACCGACAACAAACGTTTTAGGTTAGGTTAGGTTAGTATTGTAGCAATAAACAGTCATGTAAAGTAGTCGGAAAGTTAGTACTTTAGGCAGTAGATTTAATATTTTCAGTAAGGACAATTCTTCTTTTCTTGTCGGAGCTTTTATTACTACCCCGGCTCAATGTAGGACACGGGGTAGTTTTTTGGTAAGAGTCTGACACTCCCTCTCGCCTCAATTAAGGTGAGAGAAACAATCAGATGTTTTTACCCTCAAAAATCGTCAGTACCGCAATGCAAGATTGTTTCTTTAAAAAATTGAGGTTTATTATTTAGGTATGATGTCCCATACTTATTTGTCTACTGTTCGTTGTGCGTTACGTATATATTGTAACACTTCTTCATTATATTTAATCAGTACTTATATATTGTGTGAAATGTATAATTACATATATCTACATATCAAATTATGTTCAAAAACTCGCAACAATGTTAAACTTTTACACCTACTATTGTGTCTCTCTGCATCACCCTAAGGTTGACTGTCAGAGAATGCCATTAAGCATTAAATCCGCCATTGTATACCTATTGTGCAAAAAGTGTAAATAGAAAAGAATAGAATAGTAAATTGGCTGTTATCTTATATCTTATACTATTATATAAAGCGGAAGAGTTTGTTTTTTTGTTTGTTTATTTGAACGCGCTAATCTCCGTAACTACAAGTCTGATTTGAATAATTATTTTTGTGTTGGATAGCGCATTTATCGAGGATGGCTATAGGCTATCACTCTACGACCAATAGGAGCTGAGTAGAGCGTGTGAAACCGCGCAAAAGTAGGTAGTTTGTTACTAAAATTAGAGCTGATATTACTAAAGAACAGATATACACATCATACTAATAGTAGCCGTATACATAGTAAGTATTCCTCAACGAAATTGCCAATATTCATCGGCTTCAATATCGACTCGCCCGATATCATGATAGAACATAATCAAACGTCAATTTGCATGCAACTGTTGTGGAGCAATATGTCTCAGTGTATCAAATCAGCCACCGATATGAATGATATGAGAAATAGGTTTGCCGATGCAAAGTCGTATGACCTGAGAACTATAAGCAAGCAACTCGTAGGTACTTGCAAAGCGGTAATAACAAGAAAAGAAGGAAACACTTACTTACTGATTAGTCGCACATCAATAATTCACTTAATATAAACACAGATATATAACAATGTCGTGATGGCCCGGAAAGACGCCCGCTTCTCATGCTGTGGGTACTGGTTCGAAACCTACCAATCGGCAAGTACCAATGTGACATTTTCCGAGTTACATGCACTTTCTACCTCAAAATTGTTTAGATACCACTGATAAACTATGAAGGAAAACATCGTAAACCCGCATTCAGCACTTGTGGTGATTAATGATCAAACTTTCTTCGTGTGAGAAGAGGCTTTTCTCAGCTTTGGGCACTTATGGGCCTGTGATGATGATGATATCAGTGTTAATATTGACTAAGATCTAATTATATCTACATGATCTTACATGTACATAGAATTAATTTTATAATGGTGTCTCATATAACACTCAAAACTTGAGTTTTTTACAAGACTTACCAATATTTCCGGAGCACAAATAATATACATATACAAATCAAGAAAATGTAATTTAATGGAAACTGCTGTCAGTTCAATTACCACATCCAGCGCTACGTTAAACCATAAAAGAAAAACAAAGAAAAAATAAACTTAAAAAGAGATTTTCTCCGTTTTTACTACAAACAAAGTGACCACTATTTTAGCAGTGAAACGAGACTGTTCTGGCTCGGGCTACAATATAAATTTCTCTTTATTGTCCTGTAAAAGAATAAAAGCAGAGTGGACAACGAAAACCTTTCCGGATTATGGGTGTTTGTGGAAATATGTTTTTTTATCAGTACAACGATGAATGTAGTTCTCATTCTATAGGTTAATAACCTATAGTATACCTTTCAAAGTCAAAGTCAAAATCATTTATTTCGATTAGACCACGATGGCACTTTTGAACGTCAACAACAAAAATTTAGAAGCGAAGCTAGTTGTAAATTCCTATGGAGAAGAACGCGCAAGAAACTCCATAGGTTACTCTTTTTCAATCAGGTTTACAATACAATTCTCTAGTTACATAGTTTTATTGGTTCGATTGTGTGAGAACAATGAAACACTTTTCAGTATAGCATTGGAAACATTGTATTGAAATAAAATACCTAGTTACAGCATTCAATCGTAAGACACAGCGTAAGTATTTACTAAACATCTTATATAAAGTTGGGTAAAATAATCACAATCTTTACACTTAATTTTACATGTATAAAAATGATGTAGCTAAACACGGTGATTCTTGTTTACAGCACACATAAAGAAAACATATATTTTTTTATATTTGATAGGCCGACGTTTGACTACTTTCTCGACGATGAAACAATTCGACGCATAAGCAACCTATTCACTCAGACCTTGAAGACACCCAGGTTATACCCTTCAGAAACCCTACCCTTCCCCACAGAGTCTGGCAAAGAATTCCACTCCTTAGCAGTACGCACAAAGAAGATTGATGCGATTGTTATGAAATGCTCAGAGACGAATCTATATGTTACATTACACGCAAATGCTCGTTAGTCAGGGAGGTATTATTGTAATGTAATGCTCAAAGTCCAATCTATAATGTCACAATACACGTGAATGCTCCCGGTGAGGGAACACCTTTACAATACAACACTAACTACTTAAAATGGAAGACCACACAGCTCAAACACACACTGAAATTTAATAAGAGGTTTCACCTGGCACTATATCTTAAGCGAACACTTCGACTGCACTTACTATCTCACCACATCGCCAAGTGAACTAAAATGTAGATAAAACGAGAATAATTTTATGTCATTATCTTCTGTAATTACTCAATTTCTAGCTGAAATCATTCATCCTGAGAGCTTTCTCACTCACACACTCGTTTTAAAATAGGTACACTGGATTTAACTTGCTTGACAAGATAAATAATCCTTACTAATATTATAAATCGGAAAGTGAGTTTGTTTGTGTGTTTGTTTGTTCCGCTTTCACGCAGTAACTGCTAAACCGATTGCTTTGAATTTTTGCAGACGTAAAGTTCGAAATCCGGATTAAATAATAGGGTACTTTTTATCCCGGAAAAAAATTATATTCCCGAGGGAAAACAAAAGTATTGGTATAGATGGCGCTGTGTATTGGTATATATCACATACTTTTATCCTTTTGTACTCGAGCGAAGCCGCGAGTAAAAGCTAGTTCATAAGATAAATTAAATATTGCCTGTCTCGTTGGCCGAGTGGTCACAAGTGCGACTGCCGGGCAAGGGGTCTCGGGTTCGATTCCCGGGAGGGGCAAAGTACTACTGGGTTTAAAAATTCTTAGTAGTAGCAAGGAGTCTGGAATTGTGTCCGGTATATGGCAATAGGCTCACCCCTATTACATAGGACTCATAACATAAATAGTGAAAAGTGGGTGTTACATTGTTCAGTGGCATAACGTGCACCTCTGCCTACCCCTTCGAGGATAAAAGGCGTAATGTTTTGTTTGTGTGTCTTAAAATATGGATTTTACATAGGTACCTACATCCAAACTTACGTATGTACAATATTAGATCATATTTATAGGTACGTACGGCGAAATTTGCACGGAACCAACCAATTTTACCAATGGAAATTGGATTTCCACTTGACCTACGTTTCGCGACATAACTTCACGCCTATATTCCCTCAGGGGTAAACAGATGTGTATATTAGTTTATATTTCGTCACGCAACGAGATTAATACCAACAGCTACATATTTGTCAAAGTAAATTCTTGCTTGGGTAGTTTTTAATTATTTATATTGCATTTAATGTCATGAATATGTATATTGACGTATGGTAAAAGCAAATATCGTAAGTAAAATTTGCTGTAAAATGTTCAGTAGCTATATTGCCGAGATCGTGCACGCTGCTCATGCGGAAGCCCCTGTGTGGTTCGAAACTAGTAGAGCTTTTCTCAGTATATTCACGTGAGTAACCCACGATTTTAGGTAATTTAGTAGGTATAATTTGCGCTTATAATTTCAAATTGTACGTTTGAAATCGCCAATCTGCTTTGAGCAAGCGTAGAAATTAATGTATATTCTTTCTTCGGGTGAGAACAGAACTTTGTTCAGCATTGTGAAGTCTGATCTGTATGAAATATGTTTTTTAAACTATGCCCTACACTAGGACTTTCTCCTGTCTCCTGGGTGCGTTTACAAACATACAAGTTCACATACACATAACACTCAGACCCGAAACAACAATTTGTGGATCACACAAAGAGTTGTTCCGTGTGGGAATCGAACCACCGCACCAATTGTGCCGTCGTTTTGAGTTCCTACGTTGGATAAAAAGAAAAGGCTTTTTTATATTTTGCTCAATCCTATCCTATCCAACACAGATGTAGAAACCTATAAATAGTATTGCGATTTATAAGAATAAGAAACTCAATACATTTTTATGTGCAAATATAAAAAATATCATCATAAAAAATCGAGATTATTTTTCTATTCCCTACTTTTAAGATGTTACGTTTCTTTCTCAAATAGAATCTTTGCCAAGTGTAACAATATTCATAGATACTGTTTTATGAAACCTCTCTTTTATTTTATTAAAGAAAAATATGCTTTGCGGTTCATATGAAAATATCTGTGTAAATAGGGGCCGGGAACCCAAACCACAGGCGCGGAATTTACATTAAGGTTAGTTGGATAGAGTATCAACGTGTTTTAGGCAAAGAATCCGACAAAATAACGTAACATGCATGCGGTATGCTACATGATTTTTGTAAGGGGGGAAAATCATAGAATGTCTTCTCCCGCCTCGGTGAAGTGGGAGGGGGAAGTGTCTCTTGCTAACTGAAAACCACCCCGTTCCTACTCCAGCACTTCGAACCGGAGCCCCGGCTATTGGGCTCCGTCCGTGGTGGTCTGAAGGCTCTTTGAGGCGCGCGTGAAACGCAACGCGCCGGACGCTCGGGTCTGGTTCTGGTCGGGCGGCGAGCTACCAGTGCTTGCCGACCGCAGGCCCGTGCTTACCGGCGGCCGGAGATATGCTGCAATATAGGCAGAGGTTAATATTTCGTAACAAAAATAAATTGGAAAACAGTCGGGTAAAAATGAATCCGTCAGTTATATTTAAGTGTCAGAGACTTGTAAATCTAACCTTAACGAAGGTCAAACTTATGCCAGATCAATCAGGTACAATTGAGATGATGACAGGGTATAAAAATTAAAATCTACTTTGTACACTTAACATAAGAAATAAAAATACATATTTAGGAATAGGAGTTAAAACTTCATTTCTACGTTACTTACGTCAAGACAGACATTTCAAATCAATATTATCGAAAATATTTGTTTCTGTGAGGAAATAAAAAATACGAATTAGGCATCTACCCTATTCCATACACTGCACTGTGGTACTTTTCCATTTTCAGTACCTACATATAACATAGGTAATACCTACCTAGATGTGAAAATTTTGATATCGAAAGAAATCAAATTGGTAAAATTATAGATTCCTTTAAAGGAACTCACAAAATTCATATTAAAAATATCATCCACAATAGACGCCTGTCTTTTTGAAAAGTATAATCGACTAACTACAGATAGCTTAAAATTAAACAATTCTACATACAGATGATTGAAACTGACCGAAAATGAATTATGAAAAAATATTTAAACTGAATGAAAACAAAAAACATTACGTTCTCAATCAAATAAGTGCTGACGTTGATCATCAATCATTACCATGAACACGTTAGCCGCTAGTTAATTGATTAATCATTTACTGATTGATCCTATAAATGGTTTGCATTCTGTGTTCTGTTAATGTGTGATATGATTGGTCATTAACAGAAGTGAATTAAAAAGTCGTTGCTGTAGATTCTTAAATGCTTTTTTTTATGGCATAAGCCGGCCATTTTATGGCATACGGATCACCTGATGGTAAGCAATCGGCGTCGCCCATGGACACCTGGAACACCAGAGGCGTTACAAGTGCATCACCGGCTTTTTGGGGATTAGGAGTTTGAGGAACGTTGGGGATTCAGGAATTGGGGAGATTGGGGAAGAGGAAGGTAATTGGGCCAAAAGTAAATGCTAAGTGTACTACAGATTTTACTTTTAGAATATTCTAGAAGTCATCATCAACAGGCTATTAATGGTCACTACTAGCCAAAGGTCTCTTCTCGCTCGGAGAAAGTTTGAGCATTAATCATCACGCTTGCTTACTGCAGGTTTTTTTAAGGGGGGAAAATCATCGAATGACTGATCCCGCCTGGGTAAGGCGGAAGGGAGTGTCAGACTCTTAGTGATTAAAAACTACCCCGTTCCTTCTCCTGCACTTCGAGCCGGAGCCCCGGTAACCCGTTAAGTTCTCCGCGACTCCGTTGCTCAATGCAGGTTGGCGATTTCAAACTTACAATGAAAATATTCCAAAGCTCAGGTTGCCACACAATGTTTTCATCAGATGTTCTAGAAGTGTCTGGTATTACAACTTGTCTTTAGGAAAATAATGGGTTTTTTTTATATTTGACTAGCTTTTACCCGCGGCTTCACTCGCGTCACAAAAGGATAAAAAGTAGCCCGTGTGACATATACCAATACACACAGCGCCATCTATACCAATAATTTCGTTTTTCCTCGAGAATATCAATTTTTTCCGGGATAGAACGTACCCTATTAATTAATCAAACTTCTAACTTTAAGAAAGAAAAGAAAGAAAGAAAAACCATTTATTTTGCTACGACACACAACAAAAATTTAGAAACACCGAAAAAAAGCCCATAGTGCGTCGCAGCGCAAAAGGCGTCTGCAATAAATCAAAGCAATCGGTTTAGTAGTTACGGCGTAAAAGCGGAACAAACAAACAAACTCACTTTCTGATTTATAATATTAGTAAGGATGGGCCAACGTTTGACCACTATCTCGAATGGTGGTAAGCGATGAAGCGGTCTCCGATGGGACATTCTTTTTATATCCATTGCCAGTCAATTAATCAGACAGTGTGATGATTTCACCATTAGGTATTTTTCGTAATACCGTTACAAGATCATTTAATTCACCAGTATCTTACTAGTCCTGTATAAAAATAAACTTAACGGTCTCATTCCCATACAAGTTTGCTGGCAGTAGTAACCTTAACTTTCAATTTTCTTATTCTAGTACTAAAAGCCAAAGCCATATGCATAAATAGCTTGTATGTATCTATATCTGCAAATATCTGCTAACATGCAAGAGCTCTTTATATCAGCCTCGCACTTGAGAGGTCATATCAGATTGGACCTGAATTCAGCTGAAGCATGTCTAAGTATGTGTGAGAAGCTTCCAATGCATGGTGCAAGACGGAAGCGCCATACAAATTATAGTTAATACATTTAAAATATTCGAGCCGATTCCCAATCAATATATATGTCACATAGGCTACTTTTTATTCTTTTATGACGCGAGCGAAGCCGCGGGTAAAAGCTAGTTGAAAAATATGGTAATGAAATACACAGATAAGATTATAGTCTTTCAAGAGCAGATTTTTCAGTCAACAGATAATTCTTAACTGTATAATAAAATGGACATTTCCCAGTTTATAGTATGGAAGAATCGTCAAATATTCAAAACTAGCGTCTGCCCGCAACTTCGTTCGTGAAATCCCGTTTATACCGCTCCCGTTTGTGGTTTTCGGTAAAAACTAAAAAAAAGTATTGGATAAAAAGTATCCTATGTCCAAAATTCGACGGAGAGGTAGATTAGAACCAGATCTCTATCTATCTCCCCCCCCCCCCCCCGTCGAATTTCATCCAAATCGATTTAGCCGTTCTTGAGTTATAAATAGTGTAACTAACACGACATTATTTTATATATTATTTATAGAATATGAATATGTGGTTTTATAAATCAAACAGAACATGTAATGCAGAGCACACAGAAATAATTACGGTGTTCAACCTGACAAGAATGAATTTAGCAAAATGCCTGAGCTACATACAGAGCTCTAATAAAATACCTAAGTCTAAGGCTTTACCGGAATAATACATCTCTGCCCATACCTAATGCCCACTGCGCACTGGATCCTCTCTTATCCCTAAATGGCCGAAGATATAAAGATAAAATGAGATCCATCATTTTACGGGCCGACCCGGAAATGAAGTTAACCAGTTACTTCAGAAATTGTTCAGTTGCGTAAATTGTATTGACCTTTTCAGTTCGTATATGAATGTAATATATTTATATCTGCTTTGTTGATATCAGTTTTGTTCAGTAAGATTACCGTAAAAACTATAATAGTCATGAAAATAAAATATGGACGTCTTAATAGTCGAGTACATTCATGTAGGTACCTACTTAAAGGTACAGTGTAGTCAGGCAAAAGATTATCGAATTTTAACCTACTACATATATAAAAATAAGTCGGGTTTTCCTTCCTGACGCTATAACTCCAGAACGCACAAATCGATTTCCATGGTTTTGCATTCGTTGGAAAGGTCTCGGGCTCCGTGAGGTTTATAGCAAAGAAAATTCAGGATAAAAATTGTTTCTTCATCTTTTAATCACCAAACGAAATGTTACATAAAACGAAGCCATCTGGTGACGAAACGGAGTTCGCCGGGTTTGCTAGTTTTCCTATAAGAAGAGGAGGAATAATCTGTAGGCATATTCGATTCAGGCTAACATCGGATTAATAGATAAATCGAATAACATTTTGGTCGTGATAATCAAGATTGAATTAACTGGAGGAGAATCGGAACTGGAATTGTTTGTAGGTACCCATTACAATATGGAACTCTGGATGAAGGTTATGGCGAAAAGTGTATGCAAAAAAAGAAAAATGACTGCCTCGTTGGCCGAGTGGTCGCAAGTGCGACTGCCGAGCAAGGAGTCTCGGGTTCGATTCCCGGGTCGGGCAAAGTATTACTGGGTTTTTAGCTCAGTAGTAGCACGGAGTCTGGAATTGCACCCGGTATATGGCAATAGGCTCACCCCCTATTACAGTGCACTCATAACATAAATAGTGAAAAGTGGGTGTTACATTGTACAGTGGCATAATGTACACCTCTGCCTATAAAAGACGTTATGATATGTTATGTTTAAAAAGAAAAAATCCCGTTGTAACTTTCAACATGTTTTCGGAACCAACATTTCATGCAGCATTTAGTGTCACTGTCGTACCTATCTCACTAACATAGGCAGATATTTTCGAACACGGAACCCATCACAGGCTATATAATTAAATCAAAGTCTCGCGCGAGTGAAAAGCTTTGTCACTTCAATCTCTCTAATCGAGTAAAGTCTCTCGTCACACGTATACTGCGCATGTCAGGAGTTTCATACATGCATGTATAGAGAATCACCCAACCGAATAAATATGAACAGTTTTAAACGTGGTAACTGAATAAATAGCATTAGTTTAAAATGACAATATTTTTGTTTTATAAATTTACAATATAAGGCAGGGAAAAAAATTAAATAAATATAATATGTTCGACTTAAGAGACAATAAGGGCTCGTACACAAAACTGCGATGCGATGCGAATTCGCAACGCAAAAAATTACGATGCGAATTGCTGCGATGCAATTTCGTGCAACAAGGCGTCTCCCAGGGTGACCATTCCTTCGACGACCGTCAACCGTAGTAAACGTATTTTAAATTAAAAACAAGGGCACGACATGGATCGTAAAAAGAAGTGTGCACTTCTGATATTGCTTAGGAGATACAGGAAAAAGAAACAAAGAAGATTTTGGAAAGATAAGATTTTGATGCGCGATGCGAATCAATTCGCAAGTTCTTACGATGCGTAGCTCGTACATAACATAACATACATAGTGAAAATTGTACAGTGGTATATATCGTTTTTTGAATTAAATAGCATAATAAAAACTGGTTTTCATTTCAAAAACGTTATATCGTAACCTAATGAAATGGAAAAGCTACAGAGCTCGTCTTTCCAGCTTGGATATTAGATTTCATTCTGAACCTAGTTGAAAGGAGAATTTAATACAGAATTCGCGAAACCGTTTTGAAATGGTCGCCTGGTTGGCTGCTGCACTATTTATGTCGTTTATAGTATTCTAAATATAGTAGGTATATAGTTTATTTTTCAAATTGAAATTGGAATGTCTACAAATATATTTTGGTGATGGCGGTGCACAGCGCGGCACATAGCAAGACATAATTAAGATGATTATTTTTTTATTATTTTTTTACTATTGTTATTTAGTAAGTAGTTCACCGCTGATCTCGTGACCATAAAGTCGTCAGTATTAACTCATTTATTTTTTATGGATTAATGTTAAGTTTTAGTGACAAATCAGGAGAACTTAAAAGATAATATTTTTCTTTATTTAATTAGGTACCTACTTATTATTTTTATTTGTTTCATTAGTTTTAGTCAATAGTAAAGTTTGTGTATGCTCTCTTTTTGATTTTGTTTTTTCTTGTTTAGTAATAAAGTACATAGATTTAGTTTTAGGCCTCAACTATCAGCAATGGAGAAAACTTTCACCAATTCTTTATGCCATTATTAGGTACTCATTTAAGTTACTAAGGATTTCCAACCAACCCATAAATCAATCCTTGATGTCGCGGAGAACCTAATGGGTTACTGGAGCTCCGGCTCGAAGTGCAGGAGAAGGAACGGGGTGGTTTTTAGTTAGTAAGAGTCTGACACTCCCTTCCGCCTCACCCGGGCGGGAGAAGCCATTAGATGTTTTTCCACTTAAAAAAACAATCTTTGATAACGCTGTTAACAATCTTTGTGACGCTGTTAATTTAATAAAATTAACAGCGTCACAGTAGAACATCACATCTGATATTTTTAACCGACTTCATTTATAGCCGGTAAACGAGCTGAAGGATCACCTGATGGTAAGCAATCGGCGCCACCCATAAACACCAGAGGCGTTACAAGTGCGTTACCGGACTTTGGGATTAGGAATGTGAGGGTTGTTGGGGATTCAGGGACGGGCAGGAGGTACTTGGGCCTCCGGTAGCCTCACTCACACGACGAAACACAACGTAAGTGTTGTTTCAAGTCAGTTTTTTGCGAAGCCATGGTATCACTCCGGTCGTTATTCGTGCCGAAACATGACTTATTTGGTATTATATAGACTTATTTATTATTTATTACTGGTTTATGTTTCGTATTATTTCTATACATTACACTTGTTCTTCTCCAAGGAGAAACCAACCATCATTTGTCACTATTTCTTCCTCCACAGGTTTCGAAGCAACTGCAGTGGTTTGAAATCGATAGTTTGGAGACTGGGCCTGGACACCTTTAACACATGAGGAACTACACATGTGTTACCTTCAGAACTCGAGCATTTTACACCAATTTTCACTTAAAGGATCTAAAAGCGAAGAATGTTCTGAAGAATGTTTCTAGTGACTCGGATTTTAAAAGTTGGGCTCTTAACTTAGTTCTCGCTTTTAGTTGAAACAAACGTCCTTTAAAGTTCAGTCTTTGCTCAGTTTTGCTCAGTTATTGATGAACTTTTTATCAATTATTGTAAGAAGTATGGTGTAGGTATCCTTACGGTTTGGTTGCTTGGCCTTATTTAATGACGTTTGTGTACGGATAAATTTAGGATACGCTAAATTTTTCTCTTAAACCATGGGAGTAACCCAATAATTAGCACAGTGTACTTAATAGGTAAATTAATATAAGCTCTGTATGTAAGAGGTAAATTGACGGCCTCGTTGGGCGAGCGGTCCCAAGTGCGACTGCCGGGCAAGGGGTCTCGGGTTCGATTCCCGGGTCGGGCAAAGTATTACTGGGTTTTTAAAAATTCTCAGTAGTAGCACGGAGTCTGGAATTGTGCCCGGTATATGGCAATAGGCTCACCCCCTATTACATGGGACTCATAACATAAAGAGTGAAAAGTGGGTATTACATTGTACAGTGGCATTAAGTGCCGTAATGTGCACCTCTGCCTACCCCTTCGGGGATAAAAGGCGTGATGTTATGTTATAATTAATATAAGCGGGAACATAAATTATTACCATCATAAATAATTACCATCTTGCAGAATACTCAGTAGAGCCAAATCTCCATTACCGCGCACAATGGAACTCTTAAACCGATTCCTGGACTCAATGCCAGAGTGGGATATGTGTTCCCAAGCGAAAGAAGGTTATTTTTGTCGGAAAGCTTTGAGTTTTGCGAAAGATATGGATGAATGATAGTAACTAATAATATTTAAGTATTGTAACTTTCGTGAGACATACTAAATAAATTATTATGTTTTCGGCTTACTCACGTAGTAATTCGACGAGGAACTCGACTAGTTTCAAGCCATGCTAGAGGCTCATATTCATGAGCAGCATTCCGCGACCCGCGACGCGGCGGCAGTAGCAGCGCGACGGTCGAAAACATAATAATATTTAAGTACTTAAATTTTGTAACTTATTTTTTTCTTTTCATTTAAATATATGTGTATTTTTAAGGGGGGAAAATCATCGAATGACTGCCTCCGTCAGACTCTTAACTACTGACTAAAAACCACCCCGTTCCTTTTCCTGCACTTCGAGACGGAGCCCCGGTAACCCGTTAGGTTCTCCACGACAAATGTATGTGTATTGAGTAGTGTAATTGGTATTTGTACTGTTCTATTAAAATAAATAAATAAATAGAAGTAGAAGAATAAATATCAATCTAGGTGCATAATAATGGCTAACCTTCTATTAATCAATGACTTATCTCTATGGACAAAAGACATTCACTGCTATTTAAGAGAAATAGACTAGAAAAATTGATAAACTATAGCGAGACACTTTATATAAACAGTTGTCTCCAAATAATGACTTTCGTCGCAAGGAACACCGGAAAAAGGCAGTTTCGTCCAGCCGTTAGCAGATCATTAAACACGTCGTAAATATATCTTTTTTTAACATAACATAACATCTCGCCTTTCATCCCCGAAGGGGTACGCAGAGGTGCACATTATACCACTGTACAATGTAACACCCACTTTTCACTATTTATGTTATGAGTCCCATTTAATAGGGGGTGAGCCTATTGCCATATACCGGGCACAATTCCAGACTTCGTGCTACTACTGAAAATATTTAAAAACCCAGTAATACTTTGCCCGAGCTGGGAATCGAAACCAAGACCCCTTGCCCGGCAGTCGCACTTACGACCACTCGGCCAACGAGGCAGATCTTTTTTTAGTATCTTTTGAAAATAACTTCTAATCCTATGGAGGCTTTGGCTAACAGTCCTTTGCAAACGAATATCACCTTTAGTATTCCGAAATAAACTCGCAATTACATAAAACATAATATCATGCTTATTTTTGTTTGATAAAAGTGATCTAGTTTAATTTAATTTTGAACTTTATTTGCATAAATGTAGCGTTGATATTTGTTTGGTAAAGTAAACGAATGCTTGTTCCATATTTGTTCAATTTACTGCTAACGTACTAGTTTTATAAACGCTAATAAATTGGTTCATCAATAATTTCGCTACGTGTGTTTAAATAAAGTTATGATGTTTTAAAATAGCTTGTTTTTACTACCACTGGTGTTTTTAATGAAACCGTTTTATTTTCAATCGCTAGTGTATACAGAATGTTTATTTTTATCTTCTTAACATATCTTCTCATACATATATTCTTTCCCGATAGGTAATTAGAGAATGTAAAGGTATATTCAAGAAACAAAATAAAAAAGAAAGGTATATTCAAGAACGTAGAGTATTACTTAAAACATCTTCCAACTAAATAATTATTATGTTTTTATAATAACTATCCTGAGATATACTATATTAACTAAAAATCGCAGGTTACTCACGCGCAAGTAGCAACACCGAAGCGAGCACCAATGCTGGCCAGTAGGCTGCGCGACATCGCCGCGACCGCGCACGCACGAGTATTAGCCCCTCTGTGGTTCGAAACTAGTAGAGCGTTTCTCAGTATATTCACGTGAGCAACCCGCGATTTTTAGTTAATTTAAAAATATATAATTTACTAGCTGTTGCCCACGATTTCGTCCGCGTAGAATATGAATTTTAGAACATAACTTGTTTATTTCACTTTTCCATAATAATAGTAGCCTATGTTACTCCTTAGGGTTCGTAAACAAAACTGCGATGCGACGTCGCATCTTAAATTTAGATTTTTCTTGTTTCTCATAAGCAACAACAGAAGTGCACACATCTTTTTACGATCCATTTTAGTTTGGAGTATCGAATTAGAGAAAAATAAAACAAAATATAAAATTATAAGACCAGAGTTTATTTCACAAACGACTTACAATCACAATTACGTAAGAAATCAAAACTGACAATACAATTTAATGTTCTAACAAGAAATTAAGAAATAATTTATCGATACCAACTTTTTATATGAACAAGTTAATAGTTTTGTAAACCTGTAGTTCTGTTTATATTCTTATACGTAATCCAGATACCGTTTAACTATCAAGTGCAAAAACTTAAATTAATCAGCCTTAACAAAATATCTAGGTAAGCATAAGAATTTAAACATGAACAACGTGAATTAACAAACTGTCAAATATGGAATCAGTCATATTTTGCAACGAATTTAAGTTAATAAACTGCCTGAGACACATTGCCTGCTAATCTGCCTACCAAGTCACTTTAGGTCCAAGAGGCAGAACTAGTACTCTAAATGTGTGTATGTGTGTATAATGCACATAAACGATCGTAAACTCAAAAACTTGATATTTCTCGATTAACAAATTGTAAATAACTAGCAATATATCCACAATTACAAATTGTAATAAATATCTCCTAGCATACAATTCAAGAAACCTATCATGGTTTCTGAGAAAAACGGTCAATATTACCTACAACCAATACGAGAACAGACCAGCAGATCAGCAGACGCAATTCTTCTATTTATAAAGATGATATTGATGATGGTGAAACGATCATTCTAAACATTGGTGACCGTGACCCTTCTACGTTTGGTGAAGAAGCGTCGAGGCCCCAGGCAATCCTTGGTTTGGAAGCAGTAGACGATGCCCACGTTACAATCTGTGTGACAGGCACAACCGAAGTGGCAAATTGGAGTGTTTAATGGGCAACGTTGTGGCGGTGCAGCGCCCGGGCAAGGTGGATTGCAGATAGTCTCGTTGCAGAAATCTAAATCAGCTGCGAACAAATAAAAATGAATTAAGGATTGATTGGAATAAAGTTTATTTTTATTCTTGCAATAGGAGTAATTAAAAAGACCGTTAGGGTAAAGGTATGATACTGCAACTTAAATCCAAGAGACAACAGCAGAAGATTCGATAGATTCACGGACAAGGTCAGGGAGTTACAGGCTTAAAGACAGTTCTTTGCAATACCAACGAAAATTTTCCTTGGGGAGTAATAAAAATACTTACATGGTTTATCTATGTCTTTATAATAAGGATCGATATGATCTTCTGCATTAATTACTATTATTTGCACTATGATTAAACAAATTAACAATTTTAGACTCATAGCAATAAACAAATAATTTAGGAAATGGTTTTTGAATCAAAAATAAGATATGAATTAAGTTTTTGACATTTTACAATTCAACAGGCAGGCTTCATTTTTATTCTCTGTCGTTGATTGAAAAAGAACAATTTCAAATATATTCTACATTCGAAGACCATTGAGGTGCACTTACACCAAAAAGATTTTTATAAAAATCTCTTTACAATACGACTGATTCTACAAGGACGAATACTTGTACAAAAGAGGAATAAGTATTTTTGTTGCCATTCAAAAATAGACTCAAATATTCAAAATTCATATTCTCGTATCGTCTCTCATATTCATCATCATTCAGTAACAAGTGTTTTCATGGTTGTATCTACTGTAGACCCTAGCCTACAGGAGTTGCAGCGGTTTTGGGAGGTTGTGGCGGCTTGTCCCATTAAAAAAATACAGTAACAAGACGTCAACTGCTGAACTACCTCATTCTGCATGCAAGCAGTTTTGTGTGATACATGTGCAACGACCTGGTAGGTAAGCAGCTAGTGTGTTTTGACTACAAGTCCTAACACTTATCAAAAACACTTCCAGCTATCAATTAACTAAGAAATCACTCACAAACACCAAATATTTCAATAATTCCTAAGCAAACTTTACTAGCAAATTTTTCTCTGCAAGAAAAGGCCTTTACTCAGAAGTGAGTACGTATTTAAGCTGTTGAAGTTGATGTGATCAAGCACATTTTGAATCCATGTGACCACTGCTCAGTGTTCTCCCTAACATACCTTCAGCCAATGATTTTTATGGGATAAGCAGACCGATCACCTGATGGTAAGCAATCGGCGTTGCCCTTGGACACCCGGAACACCAGAAGCATTAGCGTTAGAAGTGCATAACCGGGGATTAGGAATTTGAAGATTGTTGGGGATTCAGGGATTGAGAGAGGGGGTAGGGCTAATGGGGCCCCCAGTAACCTTATTCACACGACGAATGACAACGCAAGCGTTGTTTCACGTCGGTTTTTTGTGTGGGCGTGGTATCACTCCGATCGAGCCGGCCAATTCGTGCCGAAGCATGGCTATCCCACACATAACGTTGGAGCTTTTACAGATTATGTCAAAGTGCATGCGAATTTTGCTTACACAGTGTTCAGTGCTTCAGAACTATTATTGATATAACGTCAAGGTTCATATAGCAAAATGCTAGTGGCTCTTTAAGTTTTCATTTCAGATGATTAAATTTCCAGATCCTACGTTTACCAAATTAAATCTTGGCTGAATATGGAACGACCGGGTGTAGTTGAGCATCATTGTTAATGTTAATGTCTAAAGTAGACACAACGAGTTGGTATGATGATGAATTATCGTCACTAAATTATGATTTAGAAGAAGACGAAACGTATGATCAGAGAAATCATAAAATATGTTATCATTTCTCTAATCATACATTTCGTCTTCTTCTCTTCTTCCTTCTTAAGTCAAAACCCGAGAGGCGATGGCGTTAGTTAGCTAACGTGACTTTCATTCCTTCTAATTACGCAACTATAATTATAAAACACGTTCTTATTGTTTTAGTACATACACACATATTATATAACCCCACGCTTGTCTCCCATTGGGGTAGGCGGAGACTATAGAATTATTGATTTATTAATTTCATTCCCTAGTACCTATAGCATAAAAATCTACGTAAACTTATATTTTTTTCAGCTTTATATTACTAACCTGGTATGGCAATGTCCTTTAATGACGGATAATCATTTCCTTGAGAATTTGTTGTTAAAACTTGCAAAAGACATAACAATACTAATAATTTAATAGCCATTGCATCTGGCTGTTTGTGAGAATTGGATAGAAATTAAATACTAATTTCGTACACGATTGTTTTATAAACGTCATTATGAAAATTCTTTACGTTCAACCTTGATGGATTTTCGTGTTCCAAGCAATGATTCCAAGTGACTTTGTGACTTTGAATGAGTCAACATTCAAAAAGTATAGAGTATGATGTAAAAGCTGCCAGCTGCTAAATCTGGCCTGAAACCTTCTTGAATGTCAGGTTAAAAATATCACAGACGTTTGGTATAAAGTTTGTTTTATTTTATTTAAAACGGGTTTATATAGCTTGACCTGTTCGGTTCTAAGGGTGTATATACAATAACGCTACGGAATCACGACGCGATTTTAACTCGCGCCCGCCGCGGTAGCGGTTCACGAGACCGCAGTTTTCTGCGGTTACGCAGCCGCCGCGGTTGCGATTATCGCCCGCAAACTTGGTGGAGAGAGAAGGAGAGAGAGAGAGTGAGTGAGAAGAAACTTTCTCTAGCCGTGGCTAGTTATGTGATGTGTAGAAGAAAGGGGCCCGTTTTAAGCATCAACGATTGCGAAAAAATCACAATAATTTTCGAATTATTTCTTAAGATACTATTTAAAACTACTTAATTCTTACCGTCAAGTCTTTAATTAAAACAGTCCTTGTAACTTCAGGACAGTTCGTGTAATTCTATGTAGCTCAGAATTTAATTTGGTGCGAAACTCAATCACTACAGGTTTAATATTAACATTTTCTCTTACAAAATATAGTTTGCAATTTTCTAGCGTTGCCTTCAAACTCACCAAGTTTACATGTAATTAAGAACTTTGTTACATAAGTATTAAGGATGTTTTTTAATGCCAATTTATAACTCTGGTCAATTTTTATATTTCCTTTGTTAAGTACGCTATTATGAACAATTTATGTCCTGTCAATCAAGGTCAATGTCCTGTAACTCTAAGGGTGCGTCCACATTTGTCGATTGCTCCGTGAATGCGCAGCTCGCGAGTCGTTCGCTAGACGTTCGCGAGTCGAGCAACCTGCGCTCGTGCATATAAAATTATTATTTATACGAACCTTGTATGAGTTAAGCACCAAATGGCTCGTGAGCGGCACATTCGCGACGCATTCCTTAGGTGTGGACGCACCCTAAAGGTGAAACAAGAAGTTTTTTGCATTAATTTTTTTCGACAATCCTTAAATTCCAGAGATAATCTGACTTTTACGTATATTTTCGCTAGTTCAGTACCAAAATTCTATTGATTTTAGTACTTAGATACTTATAATATTTTTAAATAATTTTCTTAGTACGTATCAGTCTCGTCTAATAAAATAAATGGATCTAAGTAAACTCTTGAGTTTCTTCATCGTGCGCCCTTCCGACTGGAGTTAATTTATAAGGGGAAATTAATTTATGAAGCTCGCTGCTTATTTATAGACCATCATCAACACTTTGCCTTCCATATTTCCGGAAATTTTATGGAGAGTCGAGAATTTATGATTCTTTAGCGAACATTCATTCCAGAATGGACTGTATTAAGCGCATCTCAGAATTAAAGAAGAGAGAAGAAATCCAAATAGTTTTAAGACTGAAAAAATAACGTAATAAACCTTTTAATCTTGAAAGAAAAAAAAATAACATAACATCGTCCCATCTTTTAATCTTCAAAGGGATATACAGAGGTGTATACACAATACGATATACTATTATTACAAAATTAAACTATTACATAAATTAGTACTTGTTGACTTTACTTAGGTCTAGTATCTATAAAATACCTATTACTTAATTTCTGGAGATCTGTTTGCTGGTTGGCAAAGGCCTCCTCCAACCTTTTCCATTCATTTCATTCTTGAGCTACTCTGTGCCATGTAACAAATGGGGCGTGACATATACCCAGCCCAAGTCTAGAATCCACGCTGATACTTAGAATTTGTTTTAAAACCAATAAACCTTTCTAAATTCTTTACTCGACCTGGCAATCTAACACGAGATCCATTGCCAGCAGTTGTACTTGTAACCACTTGACGAACGAGACACATCTGTTACCATATCTTCTTCTTAGTGGTTCTCTTCATTCCTGAAAGTCGTATCTAGTCTGGTGCACGCGTCACTTGATGCACCACCCTTCCTATAAGAACCCCTATCCCCCTTTTTTTTGAGGAGGGAAATCATCCAATGACTCCTGGCCTGGGTGAGGCGAAAGAGTGTCAGACTCTTACTGACTAAAAACCACCCCGTTCTTACTCTTGCACTTCGAGCCGGAGCCCCAGCAACCCGTTAAGTCTTCCGTGGCTCCGTATCGGCATCAGCCTTGTTGGGCCCCATCTGTGGTGGTCTGATGGCTCCTTGAGGCGCGCGCGGAAAAGCACCCCTGTTCCCTGCGGTCTTTATGGCTAGTGAAACTGTCAGGCCGGTGAGGTTCTTTTCACCATCTAGCCAACGGGTAGGTAAACAATCCATAACTATGTAATACATTAAAATATTTGATCAGATCACTCAATTTATTACAAAGCAATTTATATGCAAATCCTCAGTGTTTGCTTTACAATTTTGTCAATATGGTCGCATTAATTGCACAAATATGCTAATTACTTTGTACCTTCCGTGTTCATTAGCTGATTGTGTTTGGCACAGTACATTCAATTAGCAGAAATGCGCGGTAATCACTGGTGGTAAAATTGTTTGTATTATGGAATAAATATATGTTGTTACAACATAACATCACGCCTTTTATCCTCGAAGGGGTAGGCAGAGGTGCACATTATACCACTGTACAATGTAACACCCACTTTTCACTATTTATGTTATGAGTCCCGTGTAATAGGGGGTGAGCCTATTGCCATATACCGGGCACAGTTCCAGACTCCGTGCTACTACTGAGATTTTTTTTTTCTTTTTTAAAAATCCAGTAATACTTTGCCCGACCCGGAAATCGAACCCGAGACCCCTTACCCGGCAGTCGCAATTGCGACAACTCGGCCAACGAGGCAGAGGCATATATGTTGTTACGTAACCAAAATTAATTATTATGTTTTCGGCTTTCTTACATAACTTTTTGACGAAAAGCTCGACTAATTTCAAGTCATGCTAGACTTAGAGGCTCATGTTCATGAGCAGCATTCAGCAGCAGTCGTCACGAGCCTCTAGCATGGCTTGAAACTAATCAAACTCCTCGTCAATCGTGAGTAAGCCGAAAACATATTAATTAATTTAGTATTATCTCACGAAATTTTGAATAAAAAGGTTTTACTTTATAGTCGTTGACATGTCGCGGAGAACCTAACGGGTAACCGGGGCTCCGGCTCGACGTACAGGAGAAGGAACGGAGTGGTTTTTAGTCAGTAAGAGTCTGACACTCCCTCCCGCCTCACCAAGGCGGGAGCAGTCATTCGATGATTTTCCACGCTTAAAAAAAACCCACACAAGAATTTTTCGTTTCTGTCTCTCTTTGTCGTGCGGAATAAGCATAGAAATTCACACACACATCACACTTGTGAAGAAAATTATAGTGGATCACACAGAAAATGTTTCGTTCGAGATCTAACCCGCCACCGTTGCTCCCACTGCACCACTTTGCAAACGCTGTGAAATAAGCAAGCAAAGAACAAAACGAAACATGTTGCCATTAGTAAAATGAGAGGCGTCAGCATTACATACACTATAGTATATCGCATGATATTTTCACTATTTATGTTATGAGTCCCATGTAATAGGGGGTGAGCCTATTGCCATATACCGGGCACAATTCCAGACTCTGTGCTACTACTGAGATTTTTTTTAAATCTCAGTACTTAATGGACCCGGGAATCGAACCCGAGACCCCTTGCCCAGTCGCACTTGCGACCACTTGGCCAACGAGGCAGTCTCTATCAATAAGTGATAAATAATACGAATGTATGATCATTAATATTCTTACGCAAAAAAAGCAAAATAAATCACATTCGTAAAAAGGAAAACCTTCGTTAGAATATCTAAAAAATAATCCCTTCAAAGGCTCTGTCTATAAATACACATACGTTGAAATCTTTATATATATAATTCTTCTGTGAGTGTGTATGTCACTGAACTTTTCTCAAACGACTGGACCGCTTTTGATGAAATGTTTTGTGTGTGTTCAAGGGGGTCTGGGAATGGTTTGGATTCACAAATCAGCCCGGCAGATGGCGCTGCAGTCGATGTTTAGGTTATTTATCCTAAACAGCTGAACTAATTTGAATGAATTTTTGTTTATACATTCAAGTGGATATGCAAGACAACGTCTGTTGGGTCTGCTAGTATATATATAAAAATGAAACCTGTTTCCCGTTGTCACGCCAAAACTTAAGAACGGCTAGACCTATTTGGCTGATTATTTTTTATTGT